CGACTCTGGGGTGGGTGAGCCAATTGCAGTGTGGCAAGAGTATGAATTTGTGAAATCACAGTAGTCAGGGGCCGCGATTAGGGCGAGGGAGCGCAGGTGGGAACATTGAAGCAAGGCGTTGAAGGAGCGAATTCCAATAGTTCGTATATGCTAGCTATGATAGAAGTCGCACCCGCATCGCGGCTCAGTGAGCCGCGCCATTTGCCGCATGCGACCTCGGACGAGCCAATGTCCGTCGCCCAAAGAACGTAGGTGGTGTTGCAGGTTGCGCTGCATATCACGCACGCGGTTCAAGGACCAAGTCGTGGACCAAAAATTACACTCTTGGATCGGTAACTAGTACAGGCTACGATCTGAATGAAGATAGAGGGATGCGCCTCGCATTCTTTTCTATGCAGAATAGCAACAGCGTTTTTGAATGCAATTTGGCCTATATAGGGATCTCCTGGAACCCATATATAGGTCCAAATTGCATTCGGTGTTATCTATTGTCAGTGGTTCCATTCTCCCAGACAAGTCCGGTACCACCTAACCAAACTAATAGCAATAGAAGGCTTGGTTGGCTTTGACGGCATAGGAACCAGGATTTGATCTCCAGAGCTTGTGCGTGGTAAACAGCGTCACCTGCGATCATACCATCTCTACTCTGTTAAGCGATAGGAGGGTTGGAATTCGGACTCCCTCACTGTCCCAACTAACTGTGGGCCTAAAAAGCATTTCAACGCTCATGAACTTAGGGGTACATCCCATGTGTCTTCAGGCAAATCTCTTTGTGGTGGGTAGGATAGAGCTGTCCACGAAAGACACATAAGTGCCATTCTGCTAGCTCGAAAATGTGCGGCAAGGCCAATGCCCTATCAAGACCGCTTCGACCGCTTCCATTTTACCCTACGCACGCGCAAGAACCGCATCAGCTTGACCATGGGGTGTGCCATAAATGAGAAATAAGTGCGCGGCGGCGCAACGGCGGCGATCGATCGACATTAACCACGTTGAATCTCCCAAGTGCACATTTCGCTTTCAATTCGAAGAAGATGGCCGTTCGTTGCTTCGAACTGTTTTCTAGCAACCAGCGTGGGACCATGATGATGGTTTTATAATCCACTGGAGATACATAAAAAAACACTAAAATAAAAAGGATAAAGCATTTGCCGTTGATCAATCCCTTTTTGGGATGCGGCACGCATTCTACTTCCATTTGTACATTCGTAGTGGCGTTTGAATGCGATGTGGCCTATACAATGACTTGCGGGGGCCAGCCGATGTACAAGTCAGTGTTTTTATCCTCCCAGACAAGTCTGGTACCAATTAACCGACCCCGGAGGGATGGAAGGCTTGGTTGGCCCGGGCGACTCACGACCCAGGATTTGATCCCGGACCGCTCGCGTGGTAAGCGTGCCACTTGCCACTACACCACTTCCGCCCAAGAATAGCCTATAATAAAAGCACCCCCGGGTAAATTGCGTGCGAAGTGCGTAATAATAATGAAGATGGAGGTTTGAAATCAGAAGAGAAAGCAAAATAATTTGCCGAAACCAATGAATAGGGTCTGAACTTTTTGACATGTGGGTGTGGCACAACTGAGATTCAGAGCGAACAGAGAAGACAGAAAACGCGGTAGAGCGCGCCGTACGAGAGAGTACAGAGAGGCGATGTTGCAGCCGACTGAATGAGCTCCGCCGATCGTCGCTGAACTGTAGAATTCGTGAAACCCTAGCAACCATTACTGTGCTCTTCAGAGCTACGTCAACAGTGTATGGGTAAAGTTCGCAGCTAGCTCTTTCCTGCTTACCAAAGGAATCACTCCATTGGTCTTCTCCCGGATCTTCCCTTGGAGTGCGAATCCCGGATCTTCCCTTGGAGTGCGAGGCTATTTAACAACAACACGATCCCTTATCAAACAGTAGTCCAGTACCCCCACCCCCTCATCGATAACCATAGTCAGCACATACAGACCAACTAGACGTTCTCAAAAAAAAAACCCGAAATTTGGGCTTGATCATGATCGTCGCTGTCGGGGACATTCAGATATGACGACGACAAAAATAAAATTAATACATCCTACTCTTTTTGGACGAGTCCAACTGGATCAAAACAAACAAGTGGAGTCAACAGAACTAACAACTTCACTGAAAAAAGACCAATTTACATTGGAATATTTACATTTACCAGGGCGTTCCAGAAACTCGTGCCACTTTCGAATAATTTTTTGAGTCAAGCATTAGCAGTGGGGCCATACTTCAGATTTCACGCCTATGAAACTCATGTGTCAGAAGGCTCACAGATTTTAGTTTTCATGCAGTTTCAACTCAAACATTCAAAAGGAAAGGAAGTTTTGAAATTGGGAACTGCACATAGCTTACAAAATATCCGGTAGTTGTCAATGACGCGTACAAATAAGGCAAACGGCGCTGGTCGGTCCCTTTCTGGGTGCACCACGCATTCTACTTCCATCAGAATTATAGCGGCACTTTGACTGGTATTTGGCCCAAATAACTTGCGACGGGCACTCGTGTCCGTGCTTTTATTCTGCCATACCTATGAAATACCATTGGTGCCCCTAGAAGGATGGAAGACTTGTTTGACCCAGACGGCCTACAATCCAGGATCTGGTCCGCGAAGCGTGTTTGTGAAAACCGCGCTACCTTTCACCACACCACTTCCGCCCTTCAAGAACACATTGCCAGACAGAACTAGAACTGTCAGCCAACGATTTCTCAGGAGTTTATTCCACGAAGAAATGATTGATGTGTAGCTCGTGGCTCAATTCCCTTGCTGTTGCCTTCACTGCTGTTGACCAGTGCACTTCAGGGAGGTGCTCTCGATCACTGAATCTGACTTCTTGATATCGTCCAGCCAATGAGAGACCTTAAAATATCACTGTATAGAGAACGGTATTGTAAGCTACTGAACGTCCAAGAACCATCCACGACCTTCTCACAGTCGGAATTAAGGAGTTTGAAAGTGAATGCGAATTTGCCTCCAACGTCTGCCGAACCCAGATCGGTGAACTTTCCTAGTTTCTTAGAGCGCTGCTCGACCTGAAACAAATTTTGAGGGCTAGAAAGTCTGTACTTAGTGAATCGGTAAATGAAATGTGAGAAAGTCCCTACTTACATCCATCTGTGGGAAGAACTTGACATAGCTTACAAAATATCCGGTACTTGTCAATGACGCGTACAAATAAGCAAACGGCGCTGGTCGGTCCTTTGCTGGGCGCACCACGCATTCTACTTCCATCAGAATAATAGGGGCACATTGACTGGTATTTGGCCCAAATAACTTGCGACGGGCACTTGTGTCCGTGCTCTTATTCTGCCATACCTATGAAATACCATTGCTGCCCCTAGAAGGATGGAAGACTTGTTTGGCCCAAACGGCCTATAATCCAGGATGTGGTCCGCGAAGGGTGTTTGTGAAAGCGGCGCCACCCTCCACCGCACCGCTTCCGCCCTTCAAGAACACATTGCCAGACAGAACTAGAACTGTCAGCCAACGATTTCTCAGGAGTTTATTCCACGAAGAAATGATTGATGTGTAGCTCGTGGCTCAATTCCCTTGCTGTTGCCTTCACTGCTGTTGACCAGTGCACTTCAGGGAGGTGCTCTCGATCACTGAATCTGACTTCTTGATATCGTCCAGCCAATGAGAGACCTTAAAATATCACTGTATAGAGAACGGTATTGTAAGCTACAAGAACGTCGAAGAACCATCCACGACCTTCTCACAGTCGGAATTAAGGAGTTTGAAAGTGAATGCGAATTTGCCTCCAACGTCTGCCGAACCCAGGTCGGTGAACTTTCCTAGTTTCTTAGAGCGCTGCTCGACCTGAAACAAATTTTGAGGGCTAGAAAGTCTGTACGTAGTGAACCGGTAAATAAAATGTGAGAAAGTCCCTGCTTACATCCATCTGTGGGAAGTAGTTCATGAAATGCTGGATTAGATTCGGATCGTAACGAGCCTGGGTGACCAGTGCGACACTCGATGTCTCGTTCCCTAATCCATGCTTTTTTGGTTCTGGCACCGGATGGCAGGCCTTTAAGAAAGGGAATTTTGTCTTTCTTCCATCTCTTTTCGGCTCTTAGGAATTGTTTGAGCAAACACTTCATCGCTGTAAGAATAAGGCACCACATGAACTCACCAGGGTAACTCCAATGACGACGAGAGCGGAAAGGAAACGTTCCATGATTTCGAATGGGATTTCAGTGCGATGGTAAACTGCCGGTCACCACACCTTTTATACCTCCACTGCATGATTTTATGACTATTGGAAAGCAATGCTCAATAGCCTTTTGACAGCTACACTCACATTCATTTTATTCGATCCTATTCGAAATACAGGGTGGTCCAAAATCATGTTGACAGTGTGTGCATGCGAATATATCCATTTTTCTGATTTCCTTTTCCTTTCCTCTGTTCTCTGCATCAATGAAAGAGGAAACCACGTCACAGTGCTCCACACTTCCAAATTTTATCGAGAAAGGGTTCTGGTACGCTACAGCTAGCGTCAGGTAAAAGTGACAAGAGGTTTGTGCGAGCTACAGTTGAGTGCTTCAATAAGTTTGGATCTACTACGGATGGAGAGATGGAGATTAGAAGCTTACAGTTCACTACAGGACGGATACCAAATGCAGAAACTTGTCCTCTTCCTCGCAACTTCCGTGCCCCCCAATTAAAAAATGACCTAAAAACCCAACTGGGCACTCAAAGGCTTCACCCCTGCTACGTATAGGACGCCACTCTAGTACTCTGCTTTGGACTTTTTACTAGTGCAAAGCGCTCAATCACGAAGCAAAAATTCTGGAGAAAAGCACTTATCGATTCATAGTTATGAGGAATAAATACCAAGAAATTCCCTATTTCACTCCATTTCATTCCAGAACCGTTTCCTTATTGTTAGACCACTCAACCCGAAATGTGATATCATCTTAAAAGTACTTTCCACTCCACTCTACGAAGTGCTCATCAAAATTGTATTGTCCCCCTGAAGAGTCAACTTCTGTTCTGGATAGAAAGCCACTTAAAGGCAATATTTCGGGATAAAATAGGTGTGGAAAAGCGTTCAACTATGAAGCAAAAGGTGAAAGGCAGTCTTGAAAGGAGAAGAAAAGCAACGGAACCACCGATTACAACCACCGCGCCGCATAGGGACCTCCCCCTATTTCAGCCGCCATTCCATCTTGGGATGTAGAAGGAGGCACGTTGGACGAGTTTCACGAACCTAACTCTAGTTGCTCCAGTGCCAATGACATTGGGTCGCAATGGGACCGCTGCCTCAAATGCGCCCGCGCTTTTCAAGCAGCGCCACGTGGCAACCGACAGCGGAGGGTGGGGCTTGCGGACGAAGGTGTGAGTTGCGGGTTGGACGAGCTCCTTGCGCCTTTGTCGCGCAAAGGGCGCGAAATCAACGCTTATCCGCCTGTCACTACACGGGGATGGAACAGGCGAGTGCGCCTTCTCCCGGAGCGTGCCTTCAAGCGCCCTCATTTAGACTTTTTAACAGTACACAGCACCTGATACAAGGTCAAAATTCCGCAAAGAAGGCTACTCAAATGATTTGGAAAATATGACCAAAGAAAACTGATGTCTCTTTGAAGCGTTCTTTCTAACCGCGCCTCATTCTCCTCTTTCTGGATGAGACTTGGCGCGTTCCTGGTAAAAACCGCAACACATTTTGGGGTTCGGTTCACACGTGCAACAAATGAACGTACCATTCGTCTGGTGGGATGTGCGCCGGTAAACCACGGAAAACTTCTACCTTGTTCTAGCGTAAAAGGCATGCCCGAGGATCACTTTCGTGTTGCTCTTGTACACGAATGCGAATGTATTGGTGCGAAGTAAAGAAAAAAGGAAAAGAATCCGTCAAAAACGCTTAGGTTAAGGGCTCACTCACCTTCCTGATCGGCTGTGCTAAGGGAATGAGAGACTAAGCGCGGAGAGGAGAGTATGGGGCGAGAGAGCGCTACAGATGAGAGAGCGCCAGACAACAGCCTGATAAGAAAAAAGTCTGCAGCTTGGGCAGCTTACTTTGCAAGGCCCAAGCGCTCTTATCGGTTGGTTTCCGTGCACGAGAACGCCACATTTGTGATTGTCCTCTAGGGTCTATACTACAGACCGAAGGGAAGCGTTCACACGACCTCTGCCTTAAGTTGTGCCTTTGAGTGACTGCTGAACAACAAAATAGGTAGCAGACGGCAGGTGGCCAGCGGTGTAGGAAAACTTAGGTAAGCGCGTCCCGGCTTTCGTGGAGCCGGCATACTTTGAGTCGTAGGATCAGTTTCCGTTGTTTATCTAGGAGAACCCACCGATGGTTATAGAAGTCCTCGACAACTATAACTACATTCAATGTTTGGCCGTTCACCTTACAGCTTCCTTTTCTGAGCGTGATTGTTGTTGTCGTCTATCGCAGCCCCTCCTCCTCATTGGACAGTTTTAGAGCTTTCCTGGACTATTTGGAAGAGCTGAGCGAGCGGAGATCTCCTATGCCAATTCTGGGAGATTTCAGTCTCTCCGGGTGTACACCTGGAACAACCCTCACCCTTTATCACCAGGCGTCATATTTAAAGCATGGTAACACTCCTATTCACTTTTGCTAGGTCCTACAACCTATAACAATTTCCGACTCATTACAAATATATACTTGACCTTCTTTTTGCAAACAATGCCAATATAACTTCCAACGTTGAGGTTTTGCCTCCTTTTTCTGATAAAGCTCGGTACCTTTTCGCTAGCTAGGAGAATCCTAATCAGACTCATGCTAATTCAGATTTCGGCCACGGAGATTACGGGGATATTTGTGAACGACTGTTATCGGTTAATTGGCGGCAAGCCTTAATTATGGACAAATTGATCTCGCTACAAAATCTTTACAAAAGTTCGGTCATGAATTAATGAGTACATTCGTTCCTTCTTCTAGTAAAAACCCGAGATCAACGAGAGAACAATAAAAGACGAGTGATACGGCTGTACAACAAAGGGCAGTGGGTTCGCAACCCTGACAATTTGAAAGCAGTTAGGACATTCAAAAGGAAATTAGAAAAACTCAAGGATAGATATGAAACAAGGGTTGCCCTGTCCAGAAACTCCAAGAGATTCTGGAGGTACTGTTCTATTAGGCTCAAGGACTCACCAAGCATAGGCCCCACTATAGGCCGGAATAATGAAGAGTGTACCTCTGATGCTAAGAAGGCGGAGGTTTTTGCTGATTACTCAAAACTTTCTACAGCCAGAAAATATAGAACCAGTTTCTCAATCTATTAATCACAGAGCAAAACTTGACTGGGTAGAGATCAACTGTCAAGACGTCTTTCGTGCTCTAAAAATTGCCTTTACGTTCGCCAACTTCGTCCGACATGCTGCCTTACGTATTCCTTCGTGAAAGCATTAGGGCTCACCTTACCTTTTAACCTATTATTTAATAGGATCCTCTTGAAGGACGATGTTCCAGAAATTTGGCGTCATGGTTGGGTAAAACCGATACCCACAAAAAAGGACTCAAGCTTTTATACCGTAATTTACAGCACGATTTGCTTTGAATCTTGTGTAGTAAAGTGATTGGACGAGGAATTGTTTGTTCCCGAATTAAGCAATATTCTGCTCTCATATCATCCATGCCAGCACGGCAGGATTTCTTCCGAACAAATCCACCCTTATTTGGTTAGTTGCCTTCTGATTTCAACTATCCCGTTATGGCAAAAAGCACTTGACAGATCTTGAGGTAAGGATCTGTTTATGTAGCATACATTGATTTCAAGGAAGCTTTTGATCCGATCCCTTCAAATCTCTTGTCTTCTAAATTAATAGCATTCGGAATTTCGGGCTCACTACAGAACTTCCTCATGTCATTTTTGCACGAGAGGAAGCAAGCTGTTTTTATCAGCAACACGTTATCGATGCCTTACAAAACATTTAGCGGAGTGCCTCAGGGCCAGGTCCCTAGGGCCCCTTGATGTTTTTGATGCACATAAATGATCTTCCGCATGTTTTACCTTGAGTCAGTACATTGTACGATGTATGCGTATGATGTAAAACTGTTTTCTGTTGGAGAACCGCACATACTCCAGCTTGCGCTTGAAGCACTGTACAGTGGTCTAATACTTGGGGCTTAGAAATATCCTCCGAGAAAACCTATGTTATGAAAATAGGAGCCAGCACTGAGAGCATTGGGTTCCTACTCAATGGTCTCCCGATTAAAGACCCATATTTGTGAAAGGATCTCGGAATGAAATACGATAAAAACTTGTCTCTTGAGGAATACATTATAGACATGTTGAATAGAGCAAGTCGCGATCTAATTTTATAATTCGAGCCTTCTCTACTAGACATATACAAAAGTACTACTCACCCTTTTTATTGTCTACGTCAGACCTCTTCTAGAATACTGCACGCCTATTTGGTCACCATCAAATCGACCTTAGTGGGAGAAATTGAACAGGTTCAATTGAAGCTTACGAAAAAAATATTCACACTAGCAGGCTTATTTCATGTACCATATGAAGATCGCTTCAAATATTTGTCCGCAACTACACTCGAAATGAGAAGAAAGGTTATGGACTACGATATTATGTACAAGCTTTTTATGAGGGAAATTGATCTTGAACTCGAATATTTATGTACAAGCTTTTTATGAGGGAAGTTGATACTGAACCCGATATGCTCTTTAGAAGGTCTGGAACTAATAGGCATTACCCGAGGGCACTGCTTTAGGATATTGAGAGAAAAGACTCACTCAAGCACGTATAGAAACAGCTTCTCGCAAAAGTTCATACCGTTTTGGAACACCTTACTAGCTGAGGTAGTGAATTCAATGTCGTCGAAATCTTTCAAAGAAAAGTCAGAAAAATCCTAAAAAAGTAAAGGCTGGTTTTAGAGTGACTCATTAGGGCTGCAAGCGATAAGTCAACTCAAGTACGGTTGCAGTAAATGTTGTATCAGTTGTAAGCAAAACTCCTTGAGGGATAATCCTATTTCGTTTCATTTATGACTGCTTCTTTCTTTTCTCTTTAGTTTGCTGACATAAGCATTGTTTATTCCACTTTTGTTTTTTTACTTAGCTTACCTAATCTCGTCTAGACCCTAGCTTTATCGCATGGACCATGGTGGTGTTGACGGACCTACTAAGTTGGTATCCGGAGGCGCTCTGTTGCTCGCGGCTTGCAGTGCTGGCGGCCCACTGCTCTTCACCAC